ATTATTGGTTGATCCAATACCAAATTCTCCAAACTAACATGACAAGAACTGTATGGTAGACAGTAAGGAGAATTACGAATGAGATCTTGGGAGTTAAAGGTTTAGTAATTTTTACTGTTAGTTTCGTCGGTAAGGTCAGAACCTTACACTGTGGATACGTCGTTCAGCTGGAACGATTATGGTATCTCCGCTACAAGAAACTTCTTTGTTTCACTCTCAGAATATTATACATGTTAGGTTTAAGCACCTTACGTGTGGTTTAGTTGCTTTAAGTCTCCTTATGGCAGATTTTTGTGGTATCTTACAATAATTACAAGTTCTTAACTGAGTTACACAACTCTGGAACTGATGGTATGTCATGAAGCTAAATGAAAAATTTATCAAGACTTGGGAAAGAGACAAGTTGGAAAAGCCAACGATGGTCTGTTTTAGGTGTCCAGCAGTTAAAACGGTGCGAAATCCACGCGAAGTAGTAAACCGTACGATAGCAATGGCAAAGCAAAAAAAAAAAAAAACGGAGGAGGCTTGAGTTAGGTTGTGTTGAGAACAGTTGTAGAATTCTTGAACAAAACTTCCCTACGCCTTTTGGGACCACCTGGTCGGGTCGTGTCCATTACTCCACCCGCCCCAACCCTTCCTCTTTTTTTTTCACTTGCACCGTTTACTATCGCGCCTGGAACAATCTAATATTCCATTCACACCAGCAAGTTTCAAGTAGTCACTAACTTTTAATTTCAAATGTGCTATATTTGAAGTCGACAAACATCGTTGTAAGCAGTTGCTATGAAGAAAACAATATTCAACCGTGTTTAACCAACAACTTGAAAACATGTTTAAGCTTTGGTGTGAGTGGGGTATAAGACAAAGAAGTAAGATAACATGTCTAGAAACAGCAGGGCTTGGCCAAAATGATACACTGACAATGATCTTTAGTTTGACTGAAATAGCATATCAAATTTGCAGAAATAACAGAAGAACCTCATGCATGCAATAATTTTGGGACTGGAACTTTCAACAAGGACATGGAGGAATCTAAAATAACAATTTTGTTTCACACAAAATTGACTGATTGAATAAACTTGGACAAACAGGTTACTTACCTTGCTAATAATTTTTTCTTCAAAGGGATTGACAGCCTCAAAGACTTTATTTGGATCAATCTGTCCAGTGATGATAACACACAAATTTTCTGGACGGTAATACTGTTGATGGTAGTTACAGACCTGCAATGCAGTAAAAGAGTAAATTTGGTATCGACAAAGATGCATTTCTGCATATATTGAAGAAGCAAAAAGGATCTAATCAGAGATGCTAAGCATGTTAAGCATGCAATCATCTTATTTTTAGTAGCACTTTCATAAAGAACTCCTGCAAAAGCAAAGAAAAAAAAAAAACATCATCAGCTGCAATTTGTCTGGAAATCACATTGCCTTGCATGGGCCTTCCACTTGCCTCTGAAGATGACCTCTTCTGAGGTTATTTCAAACTGTCTGGCAGTCACTAGCAACAACAGTCCTTCTCAGGACTATTCTAATCCAGATTATCAGACTACACAATAAAATGTAATTCCTACATTCAAACCATTGACTTGCTAACCTTAGTGTGACTACAACTTGTCCGTAAATTTTCCATGATTCCTCCTGTCTCTGACTGTCATAAAATGAAACAAAAACAGCATATGAATGTTGATGTCCCAATCTAATCAACAAATAAACAAAAGTTAATTTTTTCACAAATTAATTTTGCCCACACAACTTCACCTATATGCCTTAAAAAAAGAGGAGCAGCCTTGTAGGTGAAGTATATTCAACCATTGCACAATCCTTTCCCTTCTCAGTTTTGGTGATTTCATCTATTTGAGCAGTACAGATCATATTTTCCTCAACAACTTAAATCTTATTTATGCACCATCATCACAAAGAGAGTTTCAGCAAAGCCTTATGCTACATTTAACACTACATTAAGTGATTTGGCTTGTTAACATACAGTCATGTACATTGTAAATTTGTTTCATTAGTGAATAAGTTTGCAAATAATACCAGAATTTTCAAGCAGTCTTTTCTTCTGGGTACAAATCTGCTATACAGCATAACCTCATACCAGTGTGGTTTGATCTTAATTTACAGAACTGCTAAAAAGTAAGAAGACTGTCTCACCTCAAGGCTCGATTTCTTTATTTTCAAACCTTTTGAGAACTGAGTAAATTTTGAAGCTCAAGTTTCAAGAAGCATATGATAGGATATATCTTTCACCTTATAACCACAGACTCCAGGGTAGATCTCACGCGTAAAATTCAAGTAAGTTCTTGATATCTCCATGTTTTCTCTTCCCTGCATCTCACAGTAAACAACACCTGCATCTTCGCCTTCACCATTCACATGGTGAACCTCTGTAATATATGCTGATTCCTAGATTATAGCAAGATGTGCTAGTTAATTTAAGATTGAGTAAAAAGTGGTCTCTTGTGTCATACCAAGAACTCCTCACAAGAAGCCACATGTAGCTCATTGCTCCCTTAAAATTCAAACATTCGCCTAATTCCTTTGGCTCCTTTAGTAAAGAGGCAGATAGTAATGTTTCTGCTTAACAGACAGTACAGTTTTTCTTACTAAAAATTTGCTTCTGCTGGCTAGAAATTTTCAGTATATATGTATCTGGGTGTATGAGACACAATGGCCCTAATGGATAGTGTGCTAGACTCTGGGTCCGAAGTCCTGGTTTGAGACCTGACTGAGTCAATGTGTTGTGTTCTTGAGCAAAACAATTAACTCTCATGGTGCCCCTCTCCACCCAGTATATAAATGGGTACTGGCAATTCACAAATCTGTCACAAACTGCAATAGCTGTAACTCAAAATTGCTAAAAAGTCCCTTACAGTTAGAGTTGGATAAAGCACATGATCCAAGTAGATTGGAAGAAGGTTCAGAAAGCCTTCACTGCCTGCTGTTTCCATGGTGTAAGCTGTATGGTCAGTGGATGTCCACGCATTGGTTCCTTGTGCCAAGCATCTGTTGGCAAATAAATCTAACATACCCTGCAAGTTATGTAAATTGTTTTATTAGAATAAGGTTGCACATTACATGTACAGTATACTGTGCATAGAGTAAATAGATAAGTTGAGCATGCATTTAGTATTAGGCAATAACAAGATTTTGAGTGTAATTTAGTGTTAATAAGCACAAGTCAATTTTAGTCTTTGAAAGATTTACAAGTGCTCATTACACCAAATTGCAAGAGAAATCATGTTATTAATTGTTAATATTGTACAGTCATAGAATACATTGCAGAAGGCAAGACAGACAAAATTTTGAAAGCATCCATGCTATTTGTAATTTGCACTTGTGTTACAACTTTGCACACATGTTACATGAGAATGCACTTGTTTTCAGCCAATCAGAAGCATGTAATTTTTTCATGTACATTATTACAGTCAGGATAAAACATGGTCTGCAGACCATACAACAAGGACTATAGACAGGGTATGAAACAACAACTCCATTCCACAAACTCAGTATAAAATATGAACCAGTGTAAAGAGCGTAGACTACAAACTACTAGAGTTTGTATATAAATATAAGAGAATTGCAATTTCCTGAATCTTGTTACTCATTCTCTCTGAGAGTACTCCAGGAAAACATTGCATGGAGTTTCCTGATCTTGGACTTGCCATCACTCGCATTTGTTCCATACCATGATGAGATATACATGTACGTAATGATTTTTCTGAAATATACTTTGAGTCTCAACTGTATAAACCCAATCAAGTTTGAACAGTTGAGATTTTGTGGTGTCATTTTTCATTGTCAGTGTTGTGGCTAATGCTAAAGAAATAAGCTCAATTCTTCCTTTCTTGTTTTACACTTCTAAAGGGCCAAATAGTTTCAGTTTTATCTCCTCTTTCTTCTGTGAAAGTCATACTTCAGTTTAATGGGTACAGGTGTGTAAATCTGCACAAGTATTGGAAAAGACTGAATTAAACCACAAACAGCCAAAATGGCACATGAAACAATGAAAAACAAAGGCAAACTCTATATATACTTGTTTGAAATTGCTTCAAACTGAAATTAATTTTAATCTGCATTGTCTATTTTACTACAGTATACAAAGAACACAGAGAATGCAAGATCCAGGCTTTGCATCATCTCACCTTAAAAGGATATTTTTCACTTCCCATAAATACCAAGTGTTCCAAGGTGTGTGGTAAACCATCATCATCATGAGCCTCGGTTGCTGCAATACAGAAAAAATGCTTGCTGAACTGATGAAAAACTATCTCACCTTCAAATTCCTAACTAAGAAAATATTGACATATTCCTAGAAATTAAACATTTAAATCAGAATTATTAATATTAAAGAACATTATAAGGAAAAAACTGTCTTATTAACACCCAAAGAAAATAGAAACCTTCAGGCCTTGGATATTTTAAAACTTCTTAGCTGACGCTAACCCTACTGTCTCGTGCATTCTACATCTTCACGTGTAGCGCTGTACAAACTTTTAAGTTTTAGTGAGCGTGGGACATTTTTAGGACATCAATTATTTAAATTGACTCATAAAGTTTATGAGTCATTTTAAATAATTGATGTCCTTGAAATATTACACGCTATTTGAGAAAATTAAGAGTCTGGGATTTTATTTCCAGAATTGTTTCTCTTCTTTTTCACAAAGGAAAAATTTTTGATAAAGTTTGCTGAGCGGATGAAACCCAAAATAGGTGGGAACTCGCGGCTTAGTAACAAAATAATGATTGCTGCTCTCAACTTACCGAGACAAAGGAAACCATTAACCAAAGGCCCAGGAACTTTAGCAAAGCAAAAGTTAATGCCTGTTCTCTTGGAACGGTACTTTTCGACTTGAATTGAGTCGAGAACTTTAAAGGAAGAAATTTGTTCAAAATTTTCCGCCATATTCGATCCGAAAACAAAAGAGTGGGGCTGGGTAAAAGAGTCCACACTGTACCAGCGGATTCTATAGTAAGTACATGCATACTAAGGATGACTCCACGAAAATTTTCCAAAATGGCGGCTGTTGGGGGAATTGTTGCTCAAGAAAACCATGGCGGATTTTCGTTCGAAAACTGCAAAAGGTTTGAATTTTAAGAATGTCGAATTTCCTTTTATTCACCTTCTTTCAGTTCTAACTTTTTGATCCCATCGTAGAAATGCCATACTGGAGAAAATGGGCGCTAAGCTGCCCACAGCAAGAAAAACTGGTACAACTATTGCGGGAATTGTATTCAAGGTTAGATTTGATCTTCCTGTTATTGGGTATTTCGCCCTGATCAGTGATCGATTTGTTCGTGATTAGCGGGTTTAAAGGAACAAATGTCTTCGGAATTGGTTCTTCTTCGAGATCTGTGGTCTATTCAACTCTTTATAACGTTTTGTCGTGAGCACATGTAAAACCAGTAATGCGTTGTAGTGAAAGAAGGGATGGTCTGAATCTGCTAATTGTTACCTTTGTAGGATGGCGTCTTATTAGGTGCTGATACAAGAGCTACTGAGGTTAGTATTAGTTTTTTATAACGCATTTTTGAGGTCTAATCAAATAGGAAATAAGGCTTCCTTTACGCATAACATTATACTTTTTCTAAAAGAAACGCTAGTCGCAAAGGTAATATTTATTTTTCACCATTGTATTCTTTTATTGAAGAACTGCACAACTTTTTAAAACACATTTTTGGATTATTTTGTGGTGTGTGTTTATTGGGAACTGGTCACCAATGAAACTGTAATTGAGGTCTAATGAAATATGAAGTAAGGCTTCCTCTACGCATAACGTACCATTTTAAAAAGAATCCCTTATCGCAGAGGTAATATTTATTTTTCACCATTGCATTCTTTTATTGAAGAAATGCACACTTAATCAAGGAGAGAATTGGAAAGAAATGTTGCTACGTGTAGCTTCTCTTTGTGGAAATACAGTAGAGTTGTAGTACCAAATAATATCTTTGAGGGCAAATTTTAGTGCACTCAAATTATCATGGTAGAGGCTGCCATTCTGAAAGATGTCTATTTCAGAAATCTTTCTTTTTTAGAAATGGTACAAAATTAATAACCACTCACATTGGTTGTTGTTCTGGTCAAAAAATAATCAGAACTTTTTAGAACAAGTTACATTTTCAATCTGCATGTATATGCCTGCTACTCTTTGTGGCTCTCTTTTTTTCATTTAGTGAATTCTGATTTTGGCTCATATTTTTCATGTTTATTATTTGTTACTTTGAAGGATACAGTTGTTGCAGATAAAAACTGCTCCAAGATCCACTACATAGCTCCCAATATTTAGTAAGTACTTCAACTTTTTTGCCTCTGTCAGGTTACACTGTATAGTGATACACTTTTAACTTTGTGTACCTGTGTGCATTAGAACAGCATTTTTTCCTGGTGGTTGGTGTTTTCCTTTTATTTAGTAGTTTATAAAAATCGCTTATTCCAATTTGTCTTTTTCAGCTGCTGTGGGGCTGGTACTGCTGCTGATACAGAGTATGTTACAAATCTTATCTCCTCCAACATTCAGCTCCATAGCTTATCCACTGGACGACAGGTAAATGTGTATATTATTTACTTCTGGCCCTGGTTGTTTGAAGGATGGGTAATGCTTTCCACTGGATGAATCTCTATCCAGTGGATAGCGCAGTACTTTTCCTTAATACTTATCTGCTGAATAGCAATTTATCTGTAGGATAGCATTATCTGCCCTTTGAACAACTGGATTCTCCTTTGCCAATTATATGAATGACAATGAGCCTAGTGATGTAATACAGACTTGCTCAGATATGATTCACATCTCACATTTTAGGGAAGATAACAATACTTCTCCTTGATCAGAACTATGATTTTTAAACTTGATATTTTACTTAATTGGCACAAAGTAAGAGTTCCTTGAAAGATAACACTTAATGCAAAAGGATTTGCTGATTTTGGAAGGAAAGTCTGAACCTTGGCTGATTTAATGAGATAACTCAGTGTTTGAAATTAATTTCCTTTACAGGCCAGGATTGTTACTGCGTTACGTATGTTGAAACAGCTGCTGTTCAGGTATTTAATCTCTAGATATAGATTAAAAAAAATGCAATTCTTACTCATGATGCATGTCCATAAAAGTATTTTTTTATAAATTTATAGGACATTTCTCCTTGTACTTATTTTATTTGATAATTGACATCACTTAGTCCATGCTGTTCTTTATTCTACAGATATCAAGGGTACATCAGTGCTGCACTTGTGCTTGGTGGTGTAGACTTAAATGGCCCTACACTTCATACTGTCTACCCTCATGGAAGTACTGATAAGCTTCCATATGTCACAATGGGTAAGTCAACATCAGTTAGATGCTCATATCTCATCATTTAAGTAAAGAAAGTCACTGAAGTGGTTTTGTTCATGTGTAATGTGCACATATACAGGCCAGACATTAGCTCAGTTAGTGGTTTGAACTGGAGTAACAACAGAATATAAGTTGCCATCATCTCATTAAAAGCATGTAGTCTTGCAAAGCACTGTTTACATTGACAGTGACCAGCTTCTTGATATCATGACTGGAAGTCATCACTTATGTCAAGGGTCATGAAAAGTGATTCTGATAAATGTCTTACCGGTAGTAACATTTCAGTGTTTATTTAAATTTAAGGTTCTGGTTCCTTGGCTGCCATGTCTGTATTTGAGTCACGATACAAGCCTGATATGGAGGTAATCACTTTAAATTAATTAAAACTTTATGTAATTTACACTGACTTTCACATGATCATGGTTAACATTGTCATTGTGAGAGTGGTTGCACTTATTTGGGCTTTACTATTTATGTCTGGATTTATAGTTTTGTTTTGTTTTGTTTTTTTTTTTAGCTTGAGGATGCTAAACAACTTGTTCGTGATGCAATTGCTGCAGGAATATTCAATGATTTGGTGAGTATATTTTTGCCTTGATGATAAAAATGAACCTTGCAATTCTTGAGAGGCCATATTTTTGTTTTCATACCTTGTGCAGCAATTATTTTATTAGGTGTAACTGGTTTTCTGGCTGTGATCTGCTCCTTAGGGATCTGGCAGTAATGTTGATCTATGTGTTATAACCAAAGAAGGAACACAATACCTCAGGCCTTATGATGTGGCCAATGAAAAGGGCATCAGACAAGGAAAGTACTCCTACAAGAGAGGCACTACAGGTTTGTTGCAAGTGTGAACCACTGAACATCAAAAGCAACAACAACAAAAAAATTGTTTGACTGGTAACACTTTGCTATAAAGAACTATTCCTATAGACCCACTAAAGTAAATTAAAGTCACAGAAAAAGATCAAGCTTAGCCCTTGCAGGTTCTTAATTAACTGTATGCTTGATTATTTGAATGAAAGTTAATAGTTGAATGTGCAAATTTTCTTCTTTCATGTTCCCATCCATGTAAAATTTTTAAGAGACCAATGGAATTCTTTTCAAGTTTGTTGATCTTAAAAAAAAAAAAAAAAAAAACATGAAAGAACCTCAACCACTTTGTCAATAGCAGCTTACAAAATGTACATCTTTTTACACCTAATTTCTATTAATATTGCAAAGCACCATAATGATATGCACAATTCATCATACAAAAGGGATCATTGAGAATTTAGAGGAAAGTTTTTTCCAAGTTCAAAGTTGCCAGTCTGTCTGTGGCTTACTATTGTTTCTGCTGTCAAACACAATCTGACAAATTCATTTTTTATCACATCCCCACAGCTGTTCTAACTAAAGATGTAAAACCCATTGTGATGGAAGTGACAGAGACCAGAGTAACAGGAGAAGCCATGGAAATGTGATCTTTCTTCACTCTTTGTTCATCTCTTTTGAATTTGTACACTAAGAAAAGCTGTAGTTAGAACTTCTGTGCTAAGCTGAAACTCTTCCAAAAGTTTACAGTGTAACTGCTTTGTGTTATCAAAAAAGGCTACAAGGAAGTGTGTACCATGTTATTAAAAAAAAGGTTTGAAATAAAAAAAAACTGTGCAGGACAACACTGTGTTTTGTTTTATGTGACATTATAATCACTCCACCTTGATTCCAACCAGATTTACAATATATTTGAGAGTTGTAATGGTTGTAGTGTGGGTAGATTTGACACAACTAGCACTCTCATAATGTTGTTGCATTGAAACTAATAATTAAGCCTTCCCATAGGTATGTCCTCTTGACTACCCTTTACAAAATGAGATGAGGAGTGGATCTTCATATATTCTGTAGTGACAGTTCTCTATAAAATGGAGTTCTGGTCAAAACACTGACCATACTGGGTTTAACTATTTGTTGAGGAGGGACAACATTTCTGAAAAGACAAGTTAATGAACCTCAAAAATTAATAGTCCAGAGAATGCAGAAGGAATATGAGACATGAACATCATTTCATTCTCTTCACCAAAGAAACAATAGCCTATCCCTAAGGCCAGCTAGTGAAGAGGCTTCTGTTTGAAGTTAGGACCACCCTATGTGAGGCTATGAGTCATTGATGAGTGGTTCAGGGAAGAGGGGGTGATGAGGAAGACACCACCCACCTTGGTCCACATAAACATTTTCCCCTCCCTAGACCACACCTTCAGCCTTCTCTCACAAACTGAGGGCATAGAACAGGGAAGCCTCTACCAGGCATTCAGTAACACAGAGCCAATTATCATTAGTAGCAGGAAAGTGAAAAGGCAAGGGAAGATTGAGACAGGTTGGGTTGTTTCATTACACAACCAGAAATAAACTTCCATTGATTTCTCACCAATCTGCCTGCATGGTGCTGCTTACTATTGGCCTTTGTTTTTCTAGGTGAACACCTGAGATTCAAATTGGATTTCAACCCATGCTTCCCAGGCATCACCAACTGAGCAAAAAAGCCACACACTGGGAGCAGGGCAAATTTGAGGGTACCTCTTTCCAGTAGAGGAGTATGATAACAACTTGTGATGACATAAATTTTGATTAATTACAAAAAAAAAAAAAAAATCAATAATGCTAATTCTGTACCCAATAAGGCAACAAGCACTTTCTTTTACCCCATATCAATGAAATCATATTATCCAACAGTGGCTCACATCAGAGGCAAATGTAATAGAGAAAAAGAATCCAGTCCCCTTCTTCTGTAAAATGAGATTTATTCAGCAATCCTGAAGAGAGTTGCCATTTTGAGAGACACAAGTTCTATCACCTCTGTGAAGTGCTAAAGTTATTATTTTTAAGCACACCCTGAAACTATATTACACAACCTAATGTCATTTGCATTTTACACACTAAGTGGATCTTAGAATAAAGTGAAATTTGAAAGGGTCACAAACAATATTTAAACTTGAGACTTCAGTAGTAAGAAGATCTCTATAAAATAATTCTTGTTGTGAAAATCCAGAAAGTAATTTATAAAATACTTGAAAAGTTACAACATTTTATCATCCCTAATGGAGTCTCAGGCAACTTCACTATCCTTTTCAACAGAATACAAAAAAAACTACAAAATGTAGAGGTGCAAAATTGCAGCTGATTATTTCTGCAGTATGAATAAATAAGTTCATGCATCTGTGCAATGAAGTGTTGCCATAATTATTCAATTTCTCTCCATGAAATTCAATTTTGCATGCAGTTCACTGTGAATTGAATGTTTGAAAACCGATTACATTGTATCCACTGAGAAAAGTTCTTAAGTTAAGTCAATTAAAAGGACGTGGAAACCCAAACATCACTCTATGGTTAGAAGATCAGTTGGAATTTTGAAGTTTTAAATCTTTGACCATCCATATTCATCTCCAGGTTTCTCTCTTTTGATTGGAATTTCTTTATTTTCAATCAATTTCTTAAGATTAAGATATGTTACAAGGCACAATCAACCAAGAATTTTTGGGCATTAATATTTGTAATAAATTACTCAGTGTATCACTGATATTACACATCAAGTTTCTTTAAATTATTGTTTCATTTGGGGGGAAGAGGGGAACTGGTGAAGATTGCCTGCATGCATCATTTGTGCCACTTCATTGACTTTTGTGATACCTGGCCTCTGGTCTGGGTCAGATTTAATACACCGGCTCACTAAATCACGCAACTGCAACAATGCACACAAAATTATCTTAATTAGTAAAAGAAAAATATAAAGTCTGCACTTGAGTCAAGGGGACCTTGAGTTGCAAAGTTCATTCCAGTCTCCCATGAAACCACTAGGAGTGTTGCAACTTCCCCTGGATAATATGCATTTTGTCAGGCTTTCCTGACAGCTCAACACCACCCATTTATACTCCTGAATGGAGCAAAGAACAGTGACAATTAATTGTCCTGCCCTGGGACACAACACAATACCCTGGCCGGGTTCTCTCCACTCCAAGTCCAGCTTGCAAACTGTTCGGTTCATGCATCTCCCACACACCATATTTCATACTTTGGCAAAAAGAAAAGTTTGCCAAGAAAGGAGTTCAACTGTACAAAACATGCTAACTTGTATTACCTTTTCAGAGTAATGTTCTGCTGGCAAAGGGGGGTAATCACAGGATTCTATCTTCTTACACAGTGAATACAGGTTCATTTTGTCACCATAGAAAGGTGACTGGAGGGCAGCCATCTATCAAAGCAATTTGTACAAAGAAGACCACAAATTATTTTATGATAACACTTTCTCTCTGATTAACACCTTGCATAAACTATTATTCAACTCATGCTATGTCGACATTGCCAAATAATACCCTCAAAGATAATTTGACAGCATTCTCTTCACCCTCTGGTATCCTAAGCCAGTGTTACTAACCTCATATAAAAGACAACCCAGAGACCAAATATCAGACTTGAAATTATATCCAGTTTCATGTATCCTCTCTGGCGACATGTAATAAGGTGTCCCCACTGACAATGAAAAATCACATCAGTATCTAAAAGATTCTACCAGTTTTGCTGGCTAACTTGTGCATTCCCACTAACATGAGAATTATATTGCTATCACTACAACAGCCAAGCTCATGGCTATTGTCTACTGTTATTTTGTACATGTATTAATGTTCAACTTGCACAAAGGCTGGGAACTTGTGACAGTGTATCACTACAATTTTAACCCTGCAAATTTGAGTTCAGCTTGGGTTTCCAGACTGGGTTGTTCAAGGGTTGAGATAACCCAGGGTTAGTGTGAAATTTGATTTCAGATCTGGAAGTTTTATAAGAAGATTCAGTTTAAGTTCATTTGTGTACAATTTGGTGATTAAATGCTCTTAAAAGAATAGGGGAAATTATCCCAAAATGGCTTTTAAACAGAGGAAAATAGATACCTGGATTAGAATAAAACCCTGGGTTAGCACTAATTAGCCTTGGAACAACTGGGCCCTGGTTGTGTGGATTTGTGTTATTATATCACTTCAATTGTCCCTTGTAAGCCTCAAACAGAGGTACTTTATGTCCTTGGAGTGGACTTGTGTCGTAGCGAATGTAACTTTACCGTAATATAATGAGCCAATGTGTCTTAAGTCAAATAAATGTTATTCTCTTGGAGGCTTTGCACAGCTAAGTTAATAATATTATTAATAGGTATATTTTCATCACCTAGAGAATGTGCAGCAGTAGTCTTAGAACTAAAATATCTTCCAAGACCAAGGTCACCAAGCTTTACCACACCAGATGCAGTTATAAAGACATTGGCAGGCTTGATGTCTGTAAATAAAGTGTGTTAACATTTGAAAGGCTAGACTCATAAAGGCCTCCAGAACAGTGTCACCAAACTGAACCTTCTCTGAAGAGCCAACAAATTTAAAACTTAATAAAGTTTATATCCTCCTGACTAGAGGCAGCATTGTGTAAAACTCAATTTGTGGGCTTGTAAGTGTTACAGTAATCAAATATTTACAGAAGTGGGAGTAACTGAGGGTGCTTATTTTTATGCTGCTGTCAATGACTGACAATTGGAAAGCTCAAGTAGGAGTCATCATCATATGAACAGTCTTGATCATAGTAGGGAAGCCTTGTGGGATGGGGATATCCCTTTGCAGAGAGCCAAGTATCCCTCAAGCTACAGTACAAAAATGATGCAGCAAAAAGTTCAAGTGCAGTTGATAAGTTCACCAACCTCTGTGCATGACACGTCTCGAATGCATGTGCTCCAGAGCTGCAGTCAGTTGAACAAAGTATTTCCTGAAACGTCCAATAATAAAATTATAGCATTTACAGATCTGAAATTCCAACACCAAAAACATCTAAGGTTTATGTTAAATGTGCACATAAATGATAAGTAACATGCCAAATTCAGCCTTGGAAAGGTTTCTCCCTTATCCTTAATAACCTAGAAAAACAAGTTGATAACCTACACAAGATATTGAAAAAGTGTCAAAATTCTTTTATCTTAGATTCAGCTGAGTGAGGAGCTAGTCCGATAAGAAAGATTCTCAATCATTTTGGCCACAATTACTTGAATGTTTTCTAAATAACAGCCAAAAGGCACATGTTCATTACTACCACTCTGATCAGTTTCACATGTATTCTTTCAGTCTTTGCTACCCTTCATCAACACCCACAGAAACAGTCAGCTCAAAATGCACATAACACAGTGAGTGCTACATGTATTTAGGATAAACAGGCAGGCAGGCAGGCTCTTTAAAGGTAACTGCTCCTTTTGATGTTTACAGTCAAATATGAGGCTGGGACACTTACCAAACTGTCCTCTCTGGAATCAATCTGTCCTGTTTTTTGAAATGCTATTTTAATAAAAAATATATATCTCAATTAATTATGAATATTAACACAAGAAAATATTTATCATGGCTTCTTTTTTTAACCCTAACAAGAAGTGTTTTTAATTTGCCATGTTTTTTAAATTCCTATTGCATCTTTTTTTTCATGTTTTTAGGGCTCTAGTACTCACTTAAGGGAATAAATTAATTTAAAAAGTTAGATCTCAAGGTATTGTTATTTGTAAAAAATACTGTAGAAACAACATTTTTGAACATGATTGGCTATAAGTAGCCAAATTTGAGAACTGATCGGACTATGTATGTGTCAAACTTGTTAAATGAACAAAGTAATAGGCAAAACAAGGCTCATGGCTGTATAACTCTAAGTGTTTTCCTGTTCAGGCAGTAATCAGTAAAATTTACCACCCAAAGTGCTCATTACTACTGCTGAAAATTTCTTGAAAAGTCAGCAAGTAAAAGGAATGCTCCACCAGTTTAATGCTTAAAAAGTAGGGGAGAACACAGGTACCCTGTGTATCCACAGTACAGATCATTACATCCATTTTCTCAAGGAAAAAAGTCAACTGGTATGTTTTATCAACAAAGACATTTAAGTGAAGGTATTTTGTCAAATGCCATATCAAATACAGTCTTAACTAATTAGTAACAGTACTTTGTGCCATCCAATTCTATCTGTTAATCATTTGTATGATTAAAGACTGGATTGGCTGACATGCAATCCTGTTACCAATATCAATAATATAAATACCAGTACATGTACATGTATATGTGAAAGTTGTACCATACAGAGAATTGTTTTACATTTTCCCACGTGAACAAAGGCCAGCATAAAAATGTTTCCCATTGCAAACTTAAATGCGACAAAAATTCGAAGAAATATTGCTCTCTGTTATTACAAAATGACATGAGTTGCAGGTGAGTATCTTTATACCAACTTTTGCAAGAAAGTTCAATGAAATTTCAAAAGAACAAGAAATGAAATTCTGCAATTTCTGTTTGCATTACTTTTGCACAATACTGTGTATGTGTAAGTCATACCTTTATCATTCTTGATAAATCTCCTGCATCTGCTAATTCTAATACTATAACAAGCTGTGGAGAGTGCAATAAAAAAAGTAAGATTATTTGACTCTTACATGATTGAGTAAGGAATAATCAGATACAAAAAATTGTAATCTGATTTTCCACCTTTTTTTCTTTAAGACTAAAACTGAAATACAACTACCTCTTGTTCTCATGCACTGCTAGTGCTGATCTATCATGCACACATTTTACTTTAGGAAAGGAACAATAAGCTCAGAGCTGCACAATACAAGTTTTATTGACACACAGGACACAAAAAGAATCAATAAACAACAACATACCTCATTATTCTCTATAAAAGAAGCCAAATATTTGATAACATTGGGATGGTTTAATTGCTGAAAGAAGAAAACCAAGGGTATCAAATTTGTGCACAAGAAGGTACATTTAAGTAATTTTAGACAACGATGGACATTATTTTCTGATTAAGTTAAAGAGCATTCTGAACCTAAAGGAGTGAAGTGGTATGTTCCTCGAGAAATTTTAAATTCTGAATTCATGTCTCCCAAGTGACCCTTTTCCTGCATTCTAAGGTCTTCATTCGTGTTACTTCATTATTCTTTGAAGGCAACCAACTTGGACCAGTCAGTTGTCTGAATCTTATGATATTGTGAACAAGCTGTAGGCAGCCAGTAGGCCCACTACATGTGGATAGGTCTACCTGCTACCCAGCTATGGTTTTGAAATTGCAAGAAGAGTAATGTGGGAAACTAGAATTGTCATACTACTGAATTTTGAAACCCTTTCAAGAGTAATGTTGGAAACTAGAGTTTTCATGCTGAATTTTGTGTTCCACAAACAAACTAATATGTGTTGGAGTAATAAGGTGCTCTTAAACCTAATATGTAGAATTTAGGCATTTCCTACCTAATCTTGTTATGTCAAATTAATGCAGATTTAGCCACAGACACCCTTAAAACCTCAAACAGGAACAAAACCATCAACAAAGTCAACCCACACTTTACAAAGCATATGAAGAATCAAATATATTCATGGGAAGCAATGCTCTGGACAAAATGTTTACCTGAAGTAACTTTATCTCCTTTATACAATCTTGTCTTGCTTTTGCATCCATCATTTCAAAGATCTCAAGAAGATAACATTAAAAATAAATTTATATGAAAACCAGAAATATCAGTTAGAACTGGTTGAGAAGTTGGAATATAAATTAAATATGCCAAAATTAATAAGTACACTACAATAAATTGTACACAACTATTTTAAAATTCCCTTGTCAAGGAGTTAAGATGGAGGTATTAACAGATTTTCAGGAATAGCATGAAAATAACTTGCCAAAATCATTTCACTTGACTAGATCTCAAAAACATATTCTTTTCCCTTACCATCCATAAAATTATGACAAGTTTGACATCATGTTCCGCATGCAAAAATGAAATAACCAATCAGAACATTATTGTTGTACAAAGGTCTAATAATTTATTGATAAGAAAGACTTCTCTTGCAAAATTTACTCTTAACAAAGCAAAAAGTATTGATAATCATAACAAACAGGTGGCAAATTGGTTTGTTTATTTAGCAGCTTGTTTTCAATTTGGAAAATTCTCCTATTTCAAAAAATTTAGAATTAATAAAAACAATATCAGTGGAGTGTAAGGGAGATGTTAACAAATGGACCATCTGCAAGTGCATTAAATTCTAGTCCACCTGCAACAACTAACCTAACCAGAGTAGAGTAGAGGTTGGGACAAGCCAGTTAATAATATAGTTCACACTTAATCTTAGAATAATTAATTCAGTGGGAATATTCTTATTGAACATTCCACTGCAAGTAACACTTTTTTTTTTTCTTTTTTTTTGCATATAATGCCTTCAGTTTTCAATTCATTATAAGTAGGCACAGTTCAAAACTCGTCGGTTGACAATAGATGTATGCAAATTTCTAATGTTATCTCTAAGCAAACAAATTGCACCTGGCTTCCGTGTTACTATCTTTAGATAAGTTTTCTCCTTTCTCTTCATTGTTTTTTGTTGCATGATGCACCTTGGTTCAATAACTTCCCTTCACTCAGTTACAGGGTGTATTTGGGGCAAACGAAAGCCATTATTTATGTGCTTTGCATGTAGGAAGAGGTTGCCATCTCAAAAAGTGGCCCCCGTCGTGCAAACTCGAAGCCGATTCTTTGCCAGAGTAATGAAACTTGTTTACATTAAAACACAGCAAAATTTACTTTCAGACAAATGACAACCTATGCATGCAACGACTAAACTCACTTCACAAGCAATTATCGCGAAATTCTCTTGAACTGAATCGAATTCTTCAGTCGCCAAGCACAGCAAACCAATTACCTGTGCGTATGAGGCCCAAAAATCCCCCCATCATGAACTGAAACCGTAGTTAAGAATTATTCGCGGGCTAAGCATGAGCTCTGTCTCTCAATATCATCGATCGAATTTTAAGCTCACCTGTATTTTCTTGAGTGCAACTATAGAGTTGTCTAGGAGACATCGAGCCTTGTAAACCACACTAAACTGTCCTTTTCCGATTTTCTTCTCAATTTCAAAATTCTTCTGACTAGTATATTGCAGGCCAACTGCTTGGCCACTATCAGTAGACATACTATCGCCATTTCCTTCCTCCATTGCAGCCATACTAATCGGTTTTTTAATTTAACAGGTTAAGCGAGCTAACTGTATGATCACTGATTTTCAGTAATCTTGTCGACAATCAGGCGAGGTCTTCTCCTGCGGGAAAACGGAAGAAAAATATCACAAATTGTGACGCCTTCAAACACAACAGCTATCTACTTGCAAACAAAGATCGATAACGATAATTCCACAGCGACTGATGAGGTCTTACATGATTCGATAAATGTAAACTTCAATCGATTTTGCATAAATTTAGACGACTGCTGCAAATGGGAACAAGACTTTCGAAGTAATTACTAATAGTATAAAATCGAACCTCGTTGGAGGACACAAAGTGAAATTCTAGAACAGATCACAAATTTACAGTTTCTTACCAACCATGGACAACTTGAGAAAATTAATCGAATATTTCCCCACCTTAAATACAGAGAACCTACTACCATGGAATTTAGTCAACCAGGAAAAACACTTTGCAAATGACAACAGCCATGAGCTAGCACGTACCGTAAACCTCACACTGTTTGGAGACCTTCGGGCCACCTGCAACGAGATCCACAAAGTCTTAAAACATCATAAAACAGTGATCGTCAGTAAAATGAAACCTGGTGAGCTTAAAACGTTCTTGATAGCGGGCAAAATTTAATATTCACCAAAGTTAAAAGCTTGCGCGTAACTCACACTGGACAAGCGAAGAGTTCAAATTTACAGTCGGAACTACTCAATCGAGACAAGACTTACCTTGCGAACAACAATTGTTAAAAGCTCTGCATATCAAACTTAAGTAGCTTAACACTTAAATGGCGAATGTCCACGCAAAATCTCTCGATAAATTCCACCAAGACAAGCGCTACAAAGGGTCAATTGTCGAAACGCTGCTATGGTCGTACTCGGAAGTGGCCCATAATTCAGTTCGCGTTGACTACGCCAAGCAGACACACCGCAGGCAGCGCACGGAAAGGAGATATTTTGAACACACAACTCTCCCGTAAGGAATTTTAATTGATCGAGAAAAACCATTATTTTTTCCGCTTTCGCTTTCGTAATTTATAATATCCTTACCGGAAAAGACGTAATATAAACAAGAGAGGCCACTCATGATATCGTAGAAAAAAAACCACAATCATTTTTGGAATTCAAATTTGACTTTCCAAATCCGCGTTTAGTAAGACAACTGGAAAGTCCCGAGGCTTATTTTTTTAAATCCGACTATTTTACCAAAGAAGATCAAATTCGCTGGTTGAAAGAAAAGCAGTTTATTTTGATAAATATTCGTGAGTGAAATTACCTTTGTCTTGCACGGCTTTGAACTTCTATTGAAGCGAATCAAATCAATAAATCATCGGCTTATCGCTCACTTATTCATGAAATCAAAGAGGAAACACAATGAGTTTTTCAGTATTCACTCTCTTCCGCTCCAAAAAATTTCTTTTCCCGATGGCATTGATCGTCTTGCCTTTTATTTCTTCCTCGTCTTAAGACGTTTCCTCGTTAGGTTAGCATGACAAAGCGAGCAGAATATTCGACTTCATAATAGAAATGAAAACGTTATCATCAAGGGTCAACGAGGAAATAAAAGAAACTGGGGTTGCCAGACCTATTAGCCGCTTTTGCTAAACCAGCATTTCCTTTCCTAGTTTTTCTTGGCAGAGTTGAACAGAAAAGGATAATCTTTTACCCTCGTCCAAAAACTGACAAGCTCATATTAGAATCATAGCAAGGTGACCCAGTGTCAAGGACTAACCGTGATTGGCTAAACAGAAATTCTACTCCAGCACGTTTCCCCTGATACGCGTGGTTAGCAAGCTGTCGTCGTTAATTTATGTAACGAATAATTTCCATTTTGGACGTGCGAGCTTGCATGTTAGATCAAAAAGGGCTTTCAAGAGAAGAGGAAAAGAGGAAAACAGAGGTTTTACGGACAATCCTTTGAAATGACCGTTGATACTGAACTTTTTAAAGAAAAGAGAATCGATACCATACAGAATTTCGTGAGACAGCAGTAGTATTTTGCAGTCTGTTCAACCTCGATCTTTTACTCTATGCCTCCTTCTGCACGGGGCGCTCGAGATTAGTGAAGAACTTTTCTGCAACCCCTACCTGCATGCGAGCAGCGTATGATGCCAATATGATGGGATAATGGTTATATATCTATGACATTCGAACAGGTTTCCGTTTCGGTAAAATGCAGCGTTCCAGTTGAGAGCTTGGGAGAATCTTATTCTCGCAGCTCACGCTTGATGGAAACAAGAGCAAGTTTACGGAGGACAGCGTTTGTTACGTTTAGAGCTGTGTGACCGTGTGGAGTCTGGGTACGAGACAAAGTATTGACAGAAAACAAAATTGTCGAAGGTAATCCAGAATTGCATTGGTTTTTCTGCACTACGCTCTATGATTGGTCTTTGAAACTCGCGCCATCCTCCCGACCAATCCGATCCTGCACTGAAATCAATCACGCCTGGATCACCCTCGATTTCCCGCGTTTTCCAGCGTTTAAGTGAGGTAGTTCAAAAGTCCATACAATTTCTTATCGACTCAAACTGCGTTGGCGTTTTGTCAAAGCCAAAATTCTTGCAAGTAGACACCCACTTCACTTTTTGCGACGGATTTTATCGAAAAACATGCTGATTTCGTCAGTACAATCACTCAGTTTTCCCGAATTAAACTAATTTCTATTAAATAGCTCTATTGTCTCAAGGCTTGATTTGGACGTACATCAATGATTATCTGTGAAACCAAGTTTGCCAAAGCTACAGTTACTAAGGCAATATCGTCATATTTGGCTGTATGGGCCCTTAGAGGGTGGATCCAAATCCCATATTTTCCCAACGGTTTTTTCCCATCCTTAACTGTTCAGAAATTCGGTAAATTGTATCTTTACGTAATAACACAATGCTTACAGTAAATTAAGGAGAAAGAGGTTCCCAAGGCAAAATAACAGAGTCATGTATATACCATTTAAAAGGGAAAATATAACAATGGATTTAATATTCAAATCAGTTTGGGCTGTTCTCAAGAAATGTCCTTTAACTTTTGATCAGAAATCGCCCGATCAATCACTTTCAGATCTCTCAACTATCCGTGTATGGTGCGACGAGATAAGCGCAATGTTGAGTACATCATGATCGGTTAGAATCAGATCTAAGCTCTGGGATGGATCTGTTGACCTTCGTTGTGCAGTAAAGTCTCCACTGATGAAGAGCCTTGCTTCTTTGTTCTCACGGTTTCATGTAATTGGTAGGTGCATCCAATACCCCACAGTGACAGGCCTCTACATGATAAAACAAAACAAAAACCTAATCAGCGTAAAGGGATTTTCCATGTGTTCCTGAGTAAGATTTACCTCGAGAATTAAGCCTAATAAACGAATAGGGAGCAGCCTTGTGTTTAATAGCCTTGTGTTTAATACGATCTCCTTTTCTAACCTTGTAAAATTCGCAACCAAGACTGACTCGCTAGGCTGCGGATGCAATCTCACCATGCTTTCATCAACAGAAAATAATATTGCATTGTAATATTATAAGTTTGAAGTACTGTAGTATCGTAGTATTGAAGTTTTGTAGGTTGTAACGTTTTAATTAAGCAAAATGAAGAAATTATGAAAAAAAGTCTCTCCCTAGGTGGGATGGTGGGGTTTCCCAAACATCTCGTTTAGATATACGTTACTGACTGGGCACGAGGCCAAGATGGCTGGATTTTGGTTGAGTTCTTTTTTGCGTTTTCCAAAAAAAAGGAAGAAATAACGAGGCTAACATCAAGCCATCTTGACCGAACAAGCTTTGTCAATAAAGGATTTATAATTTAGCACAAAATTTCGCTTTATCAAGAATGAATAGTGACTAGAGCCGGGAAAGAAAGACAACTGTGTTTGTGGGGCAATAAATCCATGAGACTCGTTTATGTCTTCTTTGTTCTGACTGTCTTCTGCCGCTTTTTGCGACCCCATCGCTGGCATTGTCCAGAAAAGTAAGAACTCTGTTAGTCTACTACAAGCAATTTTTTTAAAAATTTCCTGCCCGGGATCAAAGCCATCTTCCCCGCTCGGGTAGCCAATCAGAATCATCAATTTATCTGTAGCGCCCACGGCCGCTACTGATAATTCTCATATCCAGCTGCTAACTGGGTACAATTTAAACGATGGGTGAAGAGAAGCACTGTGAGAGAAAATTGTCAGACCTAGCAAATCTGCCAATCGTTTAGGATTCGGCTTGTTTACCTTAAAATATATGAGGTCAAGCTATTTCCTATCACTTTCATTTTCCGTCATTCTGTTCACTTCTTCATTCTCTGTTGACCCGTCAGCTGTTACTTGCAATCTGTGGCGAAGCTGGCGACTTGAATATAATACTTGAAATAAAACAATTGTGAAACTTACCTCAGCTTGTCAAATTGCGCTCACCGTAATTTTACGATAAATTGCATTTAAAAGCTTGCTTTCTGTCGCTGAGTAGTATATATTCCTACGCCAGTAAAAGGTGCGTAATAAAGAAGTTCTGTGAATCATATGGATAACAAAGTTTCCAATGCACCACTCAATTCTTCGAAAATTCTCAGCTTCTTATCCTAGGCAGGATTTTATTATTCTAAATTATCCATTACCCGTTCAGAAGGTAAGCAGAGCAAACATCTCCCATTCATCTCTGCGACTTGATAAATACACGTTTCAGTCATTTCAATTCTAAAGCTTTGAGGGGTGAAAGCTCTTTCACAATATATCTTTAATCTAAAAAAAGCAGGTTTAACGCAAGATGGATCAACGTTTTTCTTTTGTATCTTTCTCTTCTTGAAACGAAACTTTAAACAAAATAATCTAAACCAATGATTGCACTGTTTACCTATGTGCAGAGCCTTGGATACGGATAGCTGACAATTACTTTTAAAATAGTTTTTTTTTCCAGCTGTCGCAGTATTACCAAAGACAATTAGATAAATTTTAGTTAACGTTGTGTTTTAAATCGTAAAAACTTAACATGCGTGTTTTTACGTGTATCAAACTTTATTTCAAAAGAAAAGTGACAAGGACAAGCTGCCTAATGACGCTTTTTGCACCATTTTAAAAAAACTCATCAAATGTCGTTCTTTATGTTTTCCTGGGGACTTTGAGGTCTTCGAAGACAAAGCATGTAATTCTGTCTTAAAATCAAATCTAATTGCATGGCGAAAACTTAAGTTGTAAGTAAGACTTCTGGCAATTAATATTTTATTAAGGTCCAAGGTAATGTTTGTATAAAGTGTCTCCTTTAAAATGATCCTCGAAAATGAAGCATTTGCAATTCACGTTGAAGACGATCTATGAAGGACCCATTTGGCTTGAAATCTTCAGCTGAGTATGATAGAAGTTTGACAATTTTAAAGAATTTTCAGACAATATAGGTGGATTTGGGGAAAGACGTTAATTTTTTTTAATTCTCTGCTGCCCCTCCATCGTTTTAAAAAGCCAGCGACGTGAAATTGTATAGACAATGAAAAAAAAATCATCGTGAGTTTTTAGCCCATCAAATGTTATAATTTCACTGTGAATTGGGGAGTTGTTTTCAGTTTTCTATTAGCTTATTCTTACTAAGCCAATAACGTATTAGTAAATTGCGAAACATTGAATTTCTGCCCAGTCCTCAATTAACTTCGACAGAAATATAAATAGCATAGTTAGTCCTCAAGAATATAGCGCTGTTCCTTTCTGAATTTCTTAACTTTTTTAAGGGTTGTCAGTCTGTTATTACATGAAGGTACAAAAATGGCCATAAGAAACATAAGTATTAGTAGTGATCCAAGTGACAATGCACTTCTTTTTCTATTTACAAATTTTTCTTCAGAGTTATGGAGGCCACAACATAACCGACGTTTTGGAACACAGAGATAGTCAGTATACTTGCGGTTCGGCAATGTCTCTCAGACTCGCGTTTGTCGCAAACCCAATTGCATTCAGCAAAGCAGTTTACATTTTTGCCGGATTGTGTTTTGCATGGCTCGCTCGTTCAGAAGGTGAGCGGAGTTGAATTTTGTCAGCCTTCCTTCCCTCTCAAGTATAAGTTGGTGTACATGTATATTTCGGGAAAAGTATATGACAATTCTATTTTGCTATGTTCAAACTCCTGCTATAGGAAGTGATAAAACATTTTTCCATATCTGCGGGCTTTCAAATACATGATATTGTCTTGCAATGTCATCAAATATAATGCATCAAACACAGAATCTCTTGAATGTGAATTCATATCAAGACTGTCAACAAAGCTTGATCTAAAGATTAAAAAGACGCACATTGTTTTTTTTTAAATCAAACTGGTACTTACTAATATTGACGATTGTGGACAACGGACCAGTGATTTCAATATTCACAATTGCAAACGGATGAATTAATGATTGTGCTTAGAAAAGTGATAAATATTGCCTCTTCTTTGTTCATAAAATTGTTCCAAAATGAAGACGAAATTGAGCATTTAATGTTCCTTCTGCTGTGAAAAATATCATCGAATTTATCATTTTATGAAATATGTTTTAAAGGCTTCTCTAGTTTCGAAAAAGAGGATAACAAATGAAAAGAGGTTGAGTCAAAAACAAACTTAGTGTGGCATAAAATAATAATTAAGAATTCTGTCAATTAATATTTTATCAAGGTCCTCCCAATAAATTTTGTTTAAGGTTGTTTTTTTTTTAGCGAAGCTCACTAGAATAAAACGAATATGAGGCGTGGAAAACTTCGATCATTTTTTAATTGGCATCCATAAATAACGTGAATCTGGAGATGTAGTAACAACGACTCACTAATATCAGTAGCATATATTAACCGTAAAAGTGTATCGTTGATCCCAAGCAAGACAACCCAAAAGTCCCATTTACTCTATGCTTTGGAGGCTTTTGTTTTCAGTCTCATTGGGAACCAATGCCGTTGCTAAAAGGGACTTGATGTGGCCATCAGTCAAACTTCCTTCAAATTTATATACCTTAGGAGACAAAGTGTATTCTTGAGTCTTAAAAATCACCAAATGTACTTTAAAGGTTTTTTTAACCCTGTCTTTCAATAAAGCAGCCCAGTTAGAGATGTCGTAGCCTTCACTATGCAAACTCGAGATTTTATTAGCAGCTAATTGTCCACGGGCAAAATTGAGTGACGAGTCTCTTTTAAAAATTGGCTCGCTCTATTGCAAAAATACAAGGTTTATATTTGGCGAAATTTAATCGAACACGAGAGAGCAAAAAACACCTGTCATTCTGTCATAACGATAATTGCCACTTAACTTGTGCTGATTGACAGTTTGCATAAGGATATCAGTTAACTTTTGAAACTAATAATAAACACAAAATGACCACCAAGTTCACTCTTTCTTGGCCCTGGTTAGCGATTGGTTTGCCGAGAGTCAAACGTTACTGGCACAAATATGGAATACCCGGCTGTCAAAAGTTGACAAGCATTGAGCGCATTTCAGTCAATTGAGTGTCGTAAACCGATGAAAAGCCAAAATAAGTACAATGGCCAAGCAGAGCATGGATAAAATCATAGAGAGTAAGTAGGCACTTCTAGTAAAAAAAGCAAAATGCATGAAGGGCAGGAAAACGCATGAGGCGAAATCGCAATTTGTTTTAACGTTGCTCCTGATTGGCAGAGAGGAAGATGCAAGTTTTCTTGACAAATTGCAGAGCGTGTTGAAACAAAGCAGTCACGGATTACTTTCGCGACTCACCTCACTCTAATAAGTTACCTAACAATTCAATTATCCTTCAAGAAATACTCTACTTCAGGGACAACTGCCTTTAACCCATAACAGTGCATCTAATAAGATAAGCATCTAATTTTTACCAACAGTATCACCCTTGAATCAATATTAATTAATTAATATTAATCAAATATTAGGTCATGAGAATAGAGGAAATGATTGTAAACTTAAGAAGCTCTTGATTGTTAAAGAAATTCTCCTTTAAGTACCATAGGAAATGTAGAGAGAACAGTTTGGAGAACTTGCATACTGATGTTAAGGTGTAAAAGGTTACATGTCTGATCGAAAGAAGTACATTGCACTTTGTGAATTTTTATTTTCAGGGCAGATATAAAGTAAACCGTTCGACGAATATAATTTTCTTTAAATCATTGAATCAGATTCTTGCAGGATTCTGAAGTTCACCGAGCCCATGGCGGACAACGCGTTACGAAATCACGTTATACAGTTGGTACAAGTTAATGATAAAGATCAGTGTGAACTACTCTGTTATTTGGAGCAGATGTGCCTGTCTTTCAATTTTGGATCGGGGAATTGTGAACTTAGTAACTCAGATCATTATCAACACCCGGAAGATTTGGCTTCCAGGATAGGTTTCTCGTATCATCCAACAGCTGTAAGTGTACTTACATGCATACACACAAGCGTTTGACTTGGTGCAAAAGCAATTTCACTAACTCGTCAATCAAACTCGTAGGGTAAACACAACTGACAAGGTTCAAACTTGTAATCTTGTGATAAGCACAACTGATAAGGTTCACTCTTGTAATTTTGTGGCTGAGCTCTCATGTACTAAATGAGTAGTTTAAAAGAATGATCAATAAGCACTGACACATTTTGTTGCTCGAACCACCGTCATAATTTTAAATAAACATTATGACACCTACACAAATGAACGATAAGACAAGGCCATACCGCGGGGGTACTGGTTTAGCTGAGTTGAGAAAGTGACTGATCTAGAATGAGAACTTGAACGAGAAAAGGGAAATATCCTTTACGGTGGTTATGCCATGTCAGTTCACATTTGTTATCCTGATTCCGATGTACGAGAACATGGTTTACCGAAAAAAGCATTCAGCTCACATTCCTACTGGTGATTCACCTACGCTAGTACGTGGTTTAAGTACTGTTCGAACACGCATTTTCAAAATGCTTTCATATCATTACCACGTAATAAAACCTTCAAAATGTAACATCAAATAAACGTGATAAAAGCTGAAAAAAAAAAAGATGAACAAATCATATAATTTTTGCGAAAAACAGGCCTCGTCGTAAAAAGATGAATTTCTCACTCTTCCCTCCAACAACGTTGGTTAGTGCAACTGTTGAAATTAATCATTTTGTGAGTTTAAGGTCACGCCCATCGGTTTTCGATTGAAAAAAATTGTTTGAATCACTCTTTTTCCATCGACAGATACTTTGCAGCGGCTTACTTTGTCCACCAGCTTCATCCTGTTTACCAAATCACCAAGGAAACCTTCGTTGTGTTTGTCCTGCTGACTGGCCTAATGCAACTAACTGTGAAAGAGGTGCGTTGTTTCGAATGCAATCTATCAGGAACTTTTACGAATCTCAAATAGGGAAGGTTCAGATTGATAAGACATACTCGTTCCAGTAAGATTTCGTATTTACTCTTCGATCTAAATTTTCTCACGGCTTCCGACTAAGTTTGTGGGGCGATTTTTCACTTTTCAAAGGCTTGTTTTCTTCGCCAATGAATGATATCTTGTCTTGCTGTTAGTTAAAATCGTGAAATAGTTTTACTATTATGCATTTATGCTACAAATATGTAACTATCATCATCACAACTATTAGCCACATCAATACGTTTATCCCCAATACTTATTTCATCATCATCAGCGTCATCACCATTGCTATTGTCTTACGTTTGCACTAATAAATGCAAGAAATCCATTGATCGAAAAGAAAACTTTCCGTATGATGAATTCGGAGACCAGGGGTGGGTCCGAAAGAGAAAACACAATCTGCATCGGGACAATTTCTGAGTTAGCCATGAATAGGGAATAATCTAAATAGTTTGTCACTGATTCGTGTTTCTCTAGATAATACAAGTGCCTTCTAAAAAAAAATGTGAACGAAAAACACCCTTCCATATGGTAGTTCATCCTATTTCTATCCGATTTAGATGCTGATGAATGTAGCTCTGGATCACATTACTGCTCCTGCTTATTGTAATGACACCGTGGGCTCATCCAGTTGCACCTGTAAGAGAGGATTCTCGGACGCATTGTTCTTATTACACCGACATCAATAATGTCAGACAAACAACAAAATAAATTTCAAACTTTTCCTGGCCGGAAAATGGGGATAAATTTTTATGCAAAGGCTTCTGGGGAAAATCGCTTTTCACTATTCAAAAATAAAGAAGTAAAACGTGCTTTCGTGAATTTTTTATTCCTTATTTTATCCAATGTAGATGCCGATGAATGTTCCCTTGAAACGCATGACTGTTCCGCTGACGCGTATTGTAATGACACCGTGGGCTCTTTTAAGTGTACTTGTCGGACAGGATTCACAGGAGACGGCAGAAAATGTCGAAGTAAGATTCCAATCATTGTTCCTATTTTTGGTCACGCTACGTGACATCAATCATTATCTATGACATTTTTTTCATTATCATTTTTGTTTTTCATTCAATACAGATGTCGATGAATGCTCCCTTGGAAAACATAACTGCTCCGCTGACGCGTTTTGTAATGACAACTTGGGCTCATTCACTTGCACTTGTGTGTTGGGATTCTCAGGCGATGGCAGAACATGTCAAAGTAAGATCCATTTAAATTTTATTATTTACCAGTCAAAAATATCAGTCTTATTAGATATGAAATAGTCCGTAAAATATTAAATGATCAGAATAATTTTTCCATATTTTTACTCCCGTAGATAACTGAAATGAAATCTACATAGATATTCAAGTGCAACAGGCTTTCAAGATGTAGTTTCTACAGGTTTTTTGTTGTTGTCAATTTAGATGTTAATGAATGCACCCTTGGAACACATAACTGCTCTACTGACGCGTTTTGCTTTGACACCGTGGGCTCATATAATTGCACATGTAGGACAGGATTCACAGGCGATGGCAGAACATGCCAAAGTAAGATGGATTTCATTCTTCTCGTTTCTTGATTTCAATATACTGATACCAGTAACCAAAGGATAGTTAAACATAATTCTTAGAATTTTCTGTGTCAACCAAAATCATCCAGAAAAGTCCCAAGAAGTAAAACTCATTAACAATAATATCAATAATAATAATAAAAGTACAACAATAATAATAATAAACCTTGCTGTTGGCATTGTCAACTAGATTTCAGTTTTTCAATCTTGAAAATCTCAACCGTCTCTGCATTATAACATTTCCAAAACAAGAATTATTCCTATCAGCGAGATCGACGAAGAAAAAGTTGGCTGTATACTAGCCAGACCGAGTTTTCCACTCGACGCCTCGTAAGCTACCAGTACCGATCAATATGTTTTCTTTCCGCAGCGACCAATGAGTGTGTTGCGGAAAACAATTCATGTCACGAGGACGCCGTGTGCACAGACACCGAAGACGGCTACAACTGCACGTGCAGTCAGGATATGATAGGGAACGGATCCTTATGCTTGGGTTAGTCGTATCACGATAATTTAAAATGGTAATGGACCTAGTGGAGTCCAATTCCATCCATAATTATACGAGTGATTAACAAAATCGGACGACCGCAAAGCAGGAGTCTGATTTGTTAACCACTCGTATGATCACAGACAGAATTGGACGACACGAAGTCCTGTTACCAATTAATCATGATCCATGATCCATGCTGTTCTCTGTACATTTCTTACAGTACTTTAAAGGAAATTTCTCTAACAAGCCTAGTGAAGAGCTTCTTGAGTTCACTATCATTTCTTCTATTATAGGATTTCCTTTTTACTGGACACTTAATGGATCTGATCCGTTCATAAGGTAAGACGATGAAACAAATCCGGAAACGGCGCGGTGGGAAAACGCTTTCTTTCCCCTTCATTATTATACTCAAAGGAAACATCTTGTCGTTTCCTCCAGTTCTGTTTAAAAACAGAACCATCTCGAGTAGCTATTTTCCTGCTCACTGGGACTCAGGCTGGTTTGTTGTGTATGATTTTGGAATATCACTGTTAAAAATGTTAATAATCACTAAGAAAGTTGCCTATTTGCGATAGGATTTTCTCGCGCTCACTCACATGCAAAAAGGACATATTTGGTTTTCTTAGACAAAAGAAAGACATTGCATTAAAAGGAGTTTGCAGCACAAACATGGCTGTTTTTGTAAAATATTTCAAACTAACAATCTTTTAACGGGAGAAAAATTTGCGTTATAATTTGCGATTATTTCAAATCTAGCACACACCTGATACACGTACAAACTTCCGCCGATACAATTACACTTTATATCGTTAAAAAACAATATCCTACCACACGTTGAAAAATTTACAGATTTCAGAGACGAAAATTCTGTCTAATCCGTATTATCTCGAATGGTTAAAATGGCGTGAATATCATGCAGGTTATTGTCCATGACCTACACCAGAAATGCATTATAACCAAATAATTACCACTAAAAATGACCTAAACCCATTTCATTTCCATCTCGCGGACAGCTTGTACAATGGTGCCACCTACAAAAGTATTAATGGAACGACAGCCCTGTATTTGGATGGACGTTCATACGCAGAAACTCCAGCACTCCCAATCCAGACCACCAGCTTCAGTATCCTGTGCTGGATGAAAGTTTTAAACCTTCCTGCGGATGTTATAAACATTTACTCTGATTGGTCTTCACCCCACCAGTTCAGGTTTGGCATGATACAAGACAGTTTGTGCGCCAACCTCCGCCGAGATTTTCCTAAATCCTCAAATATTGTCTACTTCTGTGGAGGGTGAGCATCATACAACACACTGATCAGTTCATATATTTGTAAAAAGGATGAATCAGCCTTTTCAGTTCTTGCTCTTTTTATTGTTCTGGTTTTTTTCCCTAAATTCTGGAGCAGGGCGGTGAGAAAATAAATAAAATTTGCGGAAATATTTTGTTGATAAGAAAAGACCGGCGACGTACAACTTTTGTACCTCGCACAAACAAAAAAATTCCACACTAGAAACGAACTCTCTTTGAGCTCTTTACTGTGGCCAGAAAAGTATACAAAAAAGGTCCATACGGAAAAAAAGAGAGGAGATAAAATCAAACTCACTGACTAGTGAGTTTATTTCTTCTGCTTAATATGGACCCCTTTTCATTGTTTGTAAAAACTATCCAACTCTGAATGGCTGAGAAAAATTACATTCAGTATTTCAGAAATCAACATTAATATTTATAATTTTCTTTCTTTCCATAAGGCATATCCACATGGATAAATGGATGCACGTCGCATTCACATGGAGTCGCGAAGGACTTCTCGGAAGACTGTACATAGACGGATTCGAAGAAGGCAAACAAAGAGTTCTTGGGTCAACTATTAATTTAGATCTCAACCCCACTGGCCACTCTGTGTTTGACATCGGGCTCAAACGGGATTCCTTGTTTCAACATACTTTCCACGGATTTCTAAGGAATCTCATGGTTTTTGATGTGGCAATAACTGGATTAGAAGTGAAGAAAATTTTTACAGACGGTTACACGGCAGCTTAACAATACAAGCAATAACAACTGAAAAAAGAAAAAAAAAAAAAAAAACGGACAAGAACTTCCGAAACTAACAACATGACAATTGGACTCGTACTTAAATAATGTGTATCATAAGTGGTACGCACTAAACTTTCCCTGACCACTGACACCAGCTTTCCTATATCATTCTTTTACCACACTGATAATTATCACATCATAAGACATGCGACGTCGTGCACAATGGTTATCCACAACTAAGAACTTAGTTCTTTTAAGGCAATTTTACCAACACCACAAGCTTCTTGACTGAAGTTACCTAAAATCTGGACCTCAAAATGAAAAATATAAACTACAGTTTTCATTATAAATTCAAGCACGTCATCGCATGTTACACTTTCACACTTAACTTACCAAAGTACAAGGCAAACAAAAATTGCAATTGAGAAGAAGAAGAATTATGTGATAAACATGATTCGTCATGTTAGTCATACTATGCTGTCTTCGTGACACCAAAAAAGGTTTTATCCATCATTGTCCAAAAGAACATTAATTTTTGCCCTTTTAGTAGTAGTTTTCGAGGCACAGTGTCTTTCATTACAAGGTCGGTTGAATAACAGTGGTCTAGCAACGCTAAAATCTGATAGTTCACGGCCTCTCTCCGCTATCATCAGTTTAATTCATACTAAGTAGATCAGTAACCATTTCATTTCTACTTGAGATTCTGCCTTGATTTTATTTAACATTTTCTCTTTATCAACTGGCTCACCTCTTAACAAATCACCTCTAAACGAAGTGCAGGAAAGAAGTCCGGAAAAAAATTTGTACAAAACTTCGATGCGGTTTCTTTACATCTTTTCTGTTTACAACAAATAGCACTAAGAGGTAATTGTTGAAGAAACCTTTCCAAACGCTGGAAGGTTACTTAATACGATAAGATGCTGGAATAAGCGCCGGAAATTGGAGAGAGAAGAAAAAATCCTTTTTCCTTTTTAACACCCATTTTGCAACATCTCCTATTTCGAAGGCTAAACTAGAAATTATGGCTAGTAAAAAAACTTGTGTAAACCAGAGTGTTTGATGAATATTTTCACTCGTCAAGTAAAGTTAAAAAAAACCTAACTAACACCCATTTTACAACATCTCCTATTTCGAAGGCCACCGGGCTATTTTCACTCGTCAAGAGTTTTCAGGAACAGCTTGCCTCATTTAATTTAGTAGTAACCTTATGAGTCGGATGACCGTGCAACAAGAATCAAATTTGACGGTATAGTTATTGTTGAGGAATTGTTGTAAACGCGTTGAAATACGACGAGTTATTTCTTTGTAAATAACCTGCTCAAGTAGATGGCACACAAAACGTTTTTTGCTACAGTGCTATGGTTTACAATCAGGGAGCGTTTGCAAGACCGGTCAAAGAGTAATTCGCACAGGTTAAAAAGAGTAAGCGGCCCTTTCAAAAGTGTCGTTCCTCATTTTAATCATTTATGGGATGCCTTATCTATATCAATCAGAAAAAAGAAAGCTGAACTAGATCCTTTACTTTTCCTTTCAAGTTGCGACGATGGCCAAGTTGATCTGAGTCAAACATTTATCTCTGAATCAGTAGGGTTCTTTACATATCACTTTTTTACAAATTATAGGAAAAAGTACAGGAAATAATTTAATAGAAAGCCCTCGGCAGTTTTGTCAGATCTTTCCTGTTTACAGTATCGTAAATCATATGAGGAAACTAATTCTTAGAGAAAACTTTGCAAGCGCTGGAAGGTAACCTGAGATGATAAGATACCACGATGAGTGTTAAGCAGAAAATCTGAAATTATGTTACGTGGCCTACCTCAAATGTCCTTTGATAATTTTTCATTCAAACAATGGTTTCATAATAAATTCAGCACTTCAAATTTTTCTAACAAAGACCTGTGGACTCACAAGTTGAAAGGAAACATTTTGACTCAATTATTATAACTCAAGAGCTTTTGAACGATGTTTAAACTGTTACATTTCTTTCGCACGAATGATGGATATGTGTTACCTCGATTAACTAGTCATTCTGTTAATTTAAGGAAAATTAAAGACAAATGAATTAAATTATAACACAGAATGCTTATAGTTGTTCTGTTGATGAGGACTCTAGAAACTTATTGCAATTTAAAAGGTTAACGGGTTGAATGGTTATGCAATTCCAAACTTCTCTGAAAGTTGTTTAAAACAGTTTTGATATCTTAGATCTCAAATCTATTGAATAAGTATTTTTCTTATTTGCAATATCTAGAGATGTTTTAGATAGCTTCAAGGCTACCTTTTAGAGATCTACTTCTTTCATTTGGATTGAATCCGTAACAGTAATTCAGAACTTTTTCTCAAGACAAATAGTTCAATAATGATTTAAGATATAGCTGTAAATATTTTGCACAAGATTTTACGAAGCATAAATACATTTTGAAGACATTTCCATAACATTCAAGACAAAGACAAATGTTATGAAATCAAATCAAATAAAATGCGTCTTTGCAAAATAAATGTTTTAAATCCAGAAGTACTAATGGCTGTTAATGTGGTGGCGGAAAAGCTTTGAACGCACATAATTTATATCTAACAAGTTACTTTGTCTCGGACTTCAGCTCAAGTTGTTCGCCGAAAAGCGTCACTTGCTGTGACTCCGATACCAGTCCCTTTTCAAGACTCTCCTCAGCCGAAATTTTATTCAACAGGGCTTCAAGTTTGAACCAGATTTCGGTGTCTAGCTTGTTCTTCTCTACTAAATTAAACAATTTCTCTCATATTGTCCCAGAAAAGAACTGTTTGGTTTGGAGCTTGGTGCAAGCTTTTTTTGTTTTATTAAACGTTATTTACCAAGTAATGGGAAATGAAAGGAGACTTATCAGTTCCGGAGTAATTTATTACCACCTGTCCAATCCTAAGGCTCAGGATGTTTGTTTTAATTGGAAAAAATACTAAGACTTTTTAAATTGTTACTCATTTAAATGGAAATGCCGAAAAGCTCTTCGAAGGATTTCACCGTTGGGATTTTTTCTATCGATTGAGCATGACAAGAAAAATGTGTTCACTAAAGGTTTCTTCTCCTCTCACAGTATACAATTCACGGAAAGGTCACAATTTTCAACGCCAAAGTGGCGTCAAGTTGTTTTCTTTTTTTTTTTCTCTAGATCTCCTTCTTGAGGATGAAATCTCAGCTTCACTCAGAGATCTAAGGAGATTTCTCATGCGCATACCATTTATTTTGAGTTTAGATTTTTTTCATTCAGGTCTGGGTTCTGTTGTACAAAATCTAGTTTTCGCATTTCCATTGAGTAGTGGAGCGAAAATTTTCCATACAAAATTTTTACCTCAGCATGTCTCTGAAAGCATCTTCTTTGTGAAACTGTAAGAGGAAAAACCCACATTTAGTAACGTCATAACGAACTCAAAAGAGTAAAACTTAAGCTTTATGCCGTCGATGTAAGAAATTTTAATTTAATAAATCATCCAATCTGAGTTTGAGACGACTTCTCACCCTTTCTAATATATTCCAATTGTTTCATAATAATACTCTCACAGTCTGCATTCGGAAGGCCTGCGGCTTTCTCGATAAGTGAAAAAGCCATTACTTGACGTAGCGTAGTAACATTTTGCCTTCGATGGTATTTTCATCTAATCGAACTGTTAAAAAAGGACGGCCGTATATGCTCACGTTGTGTATAAATTTAGAGGGACCGTCGATAAGGATCACTGATTTCAGAAGATTTCTGTACCCCGTGAGTTCGCACTGTACTGTGACAGGAAAATGAGAAAACTCGTACTGACTTTGGTTTTCATTGCATGTATCGCCTATGGGTACTGTCGTTCTTTTTTGGCTGAAGACAACGCACGCTCAGCAGAGAGAGTGAGACAGAAATTATTTGCAAGGTAAGTAATAATTTCGAAAGCATCACATTTGCTCTTTGGTTAACGTTTCTTTGTTAGACCTTGATTGAATTAATCCTAAAACTAATTGTAGGACATTGTAAACCTGTTATTAAAACTGTTCGGTGTCCGCTTGGAGATTTAATCCGTTCGTCATCCTAGTGTATACGAATTCTCCACGTACGTTGCATTTTGACAAATCAAACTGCGTTAGGCGTTGGTAAACGGTAATTATTCCCAACAAAAAGGTTAAAATGAACAAAAGTCCCCCTGGAAAGATCTCCGTTTACAAGTTCGTAAAAGCAGTGGTGGAGAGCTCCCACCAACAAGATTGCCTCGGAATGGAAATGTATCTCTTTAAGAAATATCATGGGAAATTAAATAAAATCACACTCAATACCAACTAATATATGCTTTCGCTTTTTTCATGTAAGAAAAAAAACTGCTTGGGGCAAATTTAAGACAGCCCTGATTATTAGTCATATCTCGCACGGTTTATATCCCATGCTGCGTGGTCAGCTAAAATCGCCTAAACATTTCTGGAGTGTTTTTTCCTATTTTTTTTTTGGCTCGGTAAGCTCTTCGATAGAGGAAAATCTTCACATTCAGTTACAAGCTTTTAAACAAAACAAAATTTGAAAAGAATAAAGGGGTAAGTTTCTAAAGAAACTGTGTTGCTGCGTCGGTGGGAGAGTATAGCAGGTAATTTAGTGTTAACAACTGGGTTGAAAACGTAAATTAGCCACCGTAAAGGGTAAAAAAGCTGACGTTTCGAGCGTTAGCCCTTCGTCAGAGCGATTGAAGTGAACGAAGTTTTAAAAAATAAATTTTACCAGTTTAAAAAAAACTTATGGAGTCTTAGTAGTTAAATTTTTTTCACAGCTTATTCTCCCTCGATCATTGGATATCAATAATAATGGTAATGGAAGTTGCTAGGTTTTGAAGTCTAGATCCATTTGGCACGATTTCATTCAAAGATGGGCTGTTGCCATGGTAACAGTGATTGATTAACGCATTCTGCATTATGACCGATCCTTTCTCTCTCAAGGAGTAAAACAAATAGCGTCTGGCTTTCAGGTGTCTCACCAGTCATTTGACACAATTTCGAGCGAATATTGTTCGGATGGTAGCCCCAATATATTAGTTTAAGATTCGTGCTTCAAAAATTGCTTGATGTTTTCCATCAAGGAGAAAAATCTCACTCCACAAAATGCATTATCAACAAAATAAACAGAGAAGACTGCCAAGCTCAACTACATTTAGAAGCTATCCAAACTGTCCACTTTTTAGGACTCAAATATGTTACTTATTCTATGGATGACGGAGTTTCTAAATGAATTAAATTATATTAGGGAAAAGATAAACTTTGGCCACCATTTTATAAAGTTGAGGTAAAAAGTCAAATATATGCAAAATTAGCCTTTTTTCCTTCCAATTTTTTTCTCAGAGAAGGAGGAAAAATTAAACTTAATTACTAAGATACATTATCTGACATCGAGAGTGCTCGGCAAAATTCGTTGATAACATTTTTGGTCAAAGAACTTATTAAATGGTATGAAATGAAACACAATTTCGTAGTATACCTTCGAATTATTTGGCAATTTTCATCCGATGCATGCTTGTGTCACTCACTTCTGTTGATATTCTGTTTCATTATCTTGACGTTACCAAGGTTAAGCAGGAAGCTTGGCTTGATATTTTCTGTAGGGACTTTAAGCCTTCAGCTTTGTAAATGATACCTTACGATGTAAACATCGGCCAACGTTATTTGTGCGATTTCCGCCATGGAAGTACTGAAATTCATTCAGATCCAGCTCTAATTCGAGAAATAAAAGATATGCCTCTTTACCATTTTCCTTACATGTAGAAAACGGTCGAACATATTGCATTGAAATACTGCACCACCAAAATTTGATTTGCATAGACTTCGTCTCAACCCCAAGTCATATGGCGTCCGTGGCAGTCAACGGCAACGTAGCAGTCAGATGTAGGGCAATACTGGCCGGCCACGCGCCAATTTCCCGCGCAAAATTTTAAAGGAAAAATGAGAAACTAGCGCTGTCTCGCAGAATAAGCAATGCAAATGGAAAAGTTCATTGAAATCTGTAAAAGGAAAAAAATGTAAGGAAAAGCAAAGGTCGAGACTTTTCGAACTCAAAGCTTATTCAAATACAGGTATGCTGTTTATGTAATATTCTATTTTGAGCTTTACCAAAAAGGCTCCATCGCTTGTGAAACATCGTGACTTCCTGGCTTGTGTGGGTGTTTGTAACTTGTGTGAGACAACTTGGTTTGGACAGCCTGAAAGTACGCCATCTAATCATTACAACGTTTTGCACGTGCCCAGACGTAGAAGCACAGACGTCCCATTTTCTTAACCAACCAAAAATTAAAAAGACGACTCAACAATCCTAGCTCATTAAGATACAATTCAAAACAAAGGTCACTAACAAGTTCACTTCTTTGCACGACTGTAGGATGAGTAAAATGGACGACACCGCTGACACTAAGCGAAGAGGGGAAAAAAGGAGTCAAAACTGTAAACCACCTCAATGTAAGAGTCACGGTTACCATATTGGCTGGCTTATGGAGTAAGTGTAGTTGACGAGATAGATATCACACAACTGCTTTTCTAAGCAAAACGAGGCTTTATCCACAACTGATTACGTAACATCTTCGGCTTACAACCTACGAAGACGTTCCGAGGATTCCGAGGGCTGATAACGTCTAAAATAATTTGAAGATCGTCAAAGATGGAGATAAAATGATTTCTCTTGTACGAATTTTCGATCAAAATCGATGAAGAGTGGTCGTAATTTCTTCTTTTTCATACCGATGAACGTGATTGCCAACACACCAGTGGAAATCCCAGAGTTGAGAGTTAATTCTGCGCACGAAATATCTTAAAATGATAAATTGTCCTGTGAGATTGTTGTCTCATCAATACTTTTCACAAACCAGACTATAGGACTTGTAATAAACCGGCTTAAAATTATGGGACAAATCCCGACACTGGAAGAGTTCTACTATGTATGTATGATAAACGACTGATTTCCATCAATTGGTAAGGAAGCATAAGTGTAATACTCCAATATGTTTGTACTTACAAATCTACACGAGACATGAACTGGGCTGGTTGGGACAAAAGCTACTGCGGCTGACCGACATGTCCAGAAAACATGCAGAAACGAGGGTGGTGAAAATTCGTCAAAATAGTAAAATCTACTAACCTGATTTCCCTTTGAAGAATTTGTCTAAACTTCGCCAAGTCTGAAAAATCAATGAACATTGGCTCGCTTTGACGAAATTTCGTCCAATCTGCCATTTTCGTTACTGCGTGCATTTCTAGACATATGTAAGCCGGTCTACAAAATATCACCGGCTGTAATTGTCATCTTCACATATTCAGTTCAAAATATGATATTAATTTCTTCCTTATTTTATCCATGCTTTCATTTTAGGTCAAAGATAAACGTCCAAAGACTGGCAATAAAAGATAGAGATTATGCAAAGAGGCCTCAAATGCTGTTAAATTAAACTAAATTACTGCAGACAAATAAATGTTGGAGCTTAACTGTCTCTCTGCAGCTTGTTGGTTAGTTAAAACTCATTCCCCTAAAGATGCGTGGTAAAATTCACGTTTCCTAGAACATCAGTTCTGAACTTGAATTTCCTGGCTCTTTGTGATACGAATAAAAGTGCAGGATTGTGCAGATCCGGAAGCCGTTAGTTTACACAATGACGGGAGAGTTACAAAACTCATATTCACTCTGGTTTTCAGAAGTTGCGGTTGCTGTAGTAACATGTTGCCTTCGATGGTATTTTCATGTGATAGGAAAGGAAAACAGGAAGGCCGCATGTGATCTAATTTTGTATAGAGTTGAAGGGAAGAGCTTAACGAACAGTATCAGAGGATACCCGGAAATCGTGAGTTGCCACTGAGACAGGAAAATGAAGAAACTCTTATTTACATTGGTTTTCATTGCCTGTATTTTCTTTGTATTCAGCTGATCTTATGTTAGAAAGCCTTCGGCCTGCTTTCGAAGTTAAAAGATACCATGTAGGCGGGTTGCGTTAGTGACATATTTCCTTCAGTTCCATGATATTTTCATCTGAAAGGAGACGAAAAACGGGAAGCCTGCATATGATCCCATTTTGTGTGAATCGGAAGGAAAGGTCGTAAAGGATCAATATCAAAGGAGACCCGTTGTAAGTTGGCACCGTGACAGGAAAATGAGAAAACTCATATTGACATTGGTTTTCAGTGCCTGTATTGTCTACGTATCTGGCCGATCTTATGTTAGTGAAACAAAAGCTCTCTTGGCAGAGAAGTGGGCTAGACGGAAATTGCCCCCACTGTAAGTGCCAGTTTAAAAATAAGCACAACACAAAAGAAAATAATCGTGTCCCTTCTCTGTTCGACTTCGACTAAATTGATGTGAAAATAGGAGTTTTTCGAGAAAGATGTTTTTCCTCTTGTCACGAGCTTGAGAAAAAGAAAATTTCTGAGTCCTCAAGAGGAAGCGAACTTCAGACCTTCGGATTCCGCGCTCCGATACTCTACCAATGAGCCAAAGAGATTCTACGGTTAGCGAAGTCTATCACAAAGTTCATATGACACGCGTCCTGCATACTGCTAGGATTAGCAACGTCGATGGCGTCATGTTTGTTATTGGAATAAGAGATATGGTAAGCTTTGAGCTCGGTAAAGAAACAGAGAAAGATGTTTTTCTTCTTGTCACGAGCGTCGGAAAAAGAAACACTTCTGAGTCCCCATGAGGAATCGAACCTCAAACCTTCGGATTCCACGCTCACCGTAGTCTGTGAGGCTCAGTGTTAAAGCATCCGAGCGCGGATCTTTCTCTATTTCTTCACCGAACTCAAAACTTACAATCTCTCTAATTCTATGAGTTGTTCGTTCGCAAAATATGCTCAGTTTTAGCTTTGAAACTACGACATGTCAATAAAGAAGAAAAAATTGATATCCATAATCCCAGCTGGTTATGGTACTTATAAACATGGAGGATTGTAACAAACGTTGTTTCTTTGCTCGATTGCAGTTTGTTGGAAAGGAGCGACTCTGTGAAACTAAGCGAGAAGAGGCGAGTCAGCGCAAACATGGTTCATCATCACTTCTCATCGTCAGCCGGGTTTCGATAGCTGAGTAGTAAATCTGATTCATTTACAGTCTTTCCTGAGTATAATTGCTTGAGTGAATTTTGGATTCACGTTGGCGGAGATCGTGACCGAACTCTAAGTAGTTAACTCTGTTAATCACATATAAGAAATTCACATACCTGAATCGACACTTTTTAGCACAACTGTGTCTTGTGTTTCTTTGTACGAAGATCTCTCTTTACTCATCTAATCATTTTATTTTTGCACTCAGTTGTTGCAGAGCGTCGAATGGAAGAGTAAGTCTGTGAACTGTACCATTGGTTCTTTCAGTGATATCATTTACGCAATTGTCTTAGCGATATTTTCTCCCAAGTTTCGCTATCCTTCACTCCCCTAAGCGACACCATTTCCTTCCATTGTTCATTAAAGGCTATTGTAACTGAGGCTCTGCGGGTGGGGCCAGTTTTTTTTAGGCCAATTATAGAGCGAGGTAAAAAAAACAATGTATTCTGGGATTACTTTCGTTCGACGCTCTTTAAAAATGGCTCCATCATTTTTCTCCCCTTCACTTTAGGTCCCAGTGAAATGAACGTCTGACGGCTGACACAGAAAGTTGAGATATATGCAAAGAAGCCATAACTGCTGCTGAAGTGAATTTAATCACTGAGGAGACCCGACATAAAAGCTTGACTTGAAGGCCGCAGTTAGCATTTAAATGTAATTATTGATAATGATATTAAAATTACAATTATATTAATAACAACAACAATAAAAATAATGTCACCACAATTAATGTAATAAGCCACAAGTAAAGTTCAGTAAAAATAATTACAAGGTTTTGCACGGTGGGTTAGCACAAGGTTTTGTTTCTGAGTTTTCTAAAGAGGAAAGGTGGAGATGGAAAAAAAGAAAGACGACTGGTTCGATCTCATTGCCAAAACAATGATTTCACACATGAAAGTGACATACTGACATCGATCTGCCTCATATTTCGGCTAGCATTGTGGCCTATTTCTTTTATGATAAATTGGTGAAGAAATTTTTGAGAGATATTTAAAACATCAATGTTAAGCTGGTCATAATTGCAATGAGGCACGGTTTAAATTGATTTATGCATCTCGTAGATAGTTTATAATCTCTTGCTATGAATCAGTTATGCCTAGTATTCGAAAGGCGGACCGAAAATTTATAACTTAGTGTTGATTAGCGTTTCTTTGACGCAGTATTAAACCCCGTGCTCATTCATCAGAGACACTGTAGTCCTTCTCACAAGAATTTCAACGAGTGATTTATCACAGTCTCCTATTAGCTAACTAATTTTTCTCGCAGTCATTTCGTAACGAGAGAGCATCAGAGCTTCTAAAGATTTCATTTCGAACGATCTGTAATGCCCAAACATCTCACCGACCAGAACGTTCGATTGTACCACTCTGCCCCAGTCTCCTTTGTAGCCCTCCTTAAAGGTCGTCACACCACGTGCTCTTCCTTAAAGTATGTCTTTCATGTATTTCACTTCATCTCCTGATAGCGCTTTATCAACCACTATGAGATCTCTCATGTACCCATCAAAAGTCGGAAAATGCATTCTGTCTCGTTTCAACCCAATGTCGAAAACTGTATGATTATTTTCGATCAGGTCTAAAGGACCATTAGAAACTCTACTTCCACCCCTTCTAATTCCATCTACGTACAGAATTCCCTCTTTTCTATCTCGACTCCAAGTGAACGCCACGTGCATCCATCTATTGGGGATGACCTTCCTTTGATTATGAGAGAACAGAACACAAAAGGGAATGAGGCTTTGCGCAAATCTCCGCTTCTCAATATACCTCTTAGGAAGGTAAATCACTCTGGGATACACACTTGAGTGCTCTACGTGTCTCTTCCTATTTATTAATTGCACGTAGGAAAAGAAAAGATGTATCTTATGCACCTACCAGTGACAGAAATAAACCATAGTAAGTCCACGTAGATGATGAGGTTTTCGAAGATGAGCACAAATTCGACGCCAACCATAAATAAAGATTCTGAACTGATGTGGTTCTGACCAGTCAGAATAGATATTAACTGGATGATCACTTGGAAGGCTCAAAACCTTTATCCAACACATGATACTAAAGCTGATAGCTCGGATCGGGAGTGCTGGGGTTTCTGCGTAAGAATGCCGGGATCCATTCAAGTACAGTACATTCCTTCCATCAATATTTTGATAGGAAGCACCATTGTACAAACTTTTCAATTCATGAAAATAATGGAAATACATTCGTTATAATGCCTACCATACCATATGGAATTCTCTTTACAAGTAGCTAAATGAAATGTCACCATTAACTGAAAGTATTTAACAGTATTTCAAGAAAGGCAGCTTAATGATCCTCTCCACTATTTATTTTGCGAGAAACTCTAAGAAGATATTTGAAATTCATGTGAAAAAATTGGGGAAATAGCCATAGCAAACGCGGCAAAATAACCGTAAATTTTTGTTGGCTGCAATGCATTTTAGAATTATTAAAAGTTAAAACTTTCATCTGTCAAAGCCGTTGTATTATGACTTTCATGCCCTGTACTCAAAACAATAACTCATTGAGACTAGAGTTTATCCATAATTATAAGCAGGAGTGTGAAATTTTCACAATAATAGTGTTCCGACAATTTCTTCCTGGAAGAAGAACGCGTTCTCTCATCTTACCTTATATTTGGATCAGACCCATTGAGTACCCAATGAAAACGAAATCCTTTGAATCCTTGAATTTAAAAATGAATACTGGTGTGGTTTGATCACGATTTATCAAACATCAAACATTTTTTGCTTAAGTTTTAAAGATGTTTATAGAAGTGCGAACTAAATTTAAAGCAAACCAACAAAGACAAGAAGTCTAGAAGACAAGTAATTGGACGATTTGAAATAATTCCCGTCTTGTCGTCCGAAGATCCACAAACTGCTTGATGTAAACAACATATGCGGATACTACAAAGCACCAACTATAGTTGAGCACAAGTGGGATAACTGTATAATTTTAAAGCTCATGAACCTTTTTTAGAGAACACTGTTCTTAATAACTTTCATGCTTCAAAAAGGCCGTGAAAGAAATCCGTAATAAGCCTTACTAGTGGTATTGCAGGGTCCTACTATAGTGGAACTTACGGTGGATATAAACTCTTAATATAAAACGCGTTCATCAAAACACCCACCCACGCATAAGAATCCATCTCCGATCATATAGTCCTTGCATTTACATATGTAGCCTCCAATAGTGTCGCTGCAAGTGGCGTTCACGTGACATTTGGCTCTTCCGGTGTTACATTTAATGATATCTGTATGTAGATAGAATCGACACTATCAATCATCCAGACTCATACTTCCTCGCTTACACAACTATAAACATAAATAGGACGAGTTAAGTGGTACCCGTACGGGTTTGAAACGGGCTGAAGTAGTAACGAACCCGAGCTTAACACTTAATGAACACTTTGTACGCGTTACCAGAAATCATACCGTGACACTCTCCAGAGTAAGAAACAGCTAAATTTTGGTAGATTTATTGTCATTTATCTTTGGCTCTGAACACAGTCTCTACAGTTCTTTTAAAAAAGCTTTTATGTCAGTGAAGTGTCATTTTGTTTCTGAGTAGTACTCCACTGTGAAACTGGGTGACATCGAGTCCATTTTTGAGCGTTATCTAGAAACGTAGAGGATCTTTATAAGAAGTATAAAGCGATATCATAACTTTTTGAAGTTAACAACGCTATGAAAAAGAATTAAATAAAAATAAAACAAAATACCGGTTTCTTACTTTTGCACTTTTTGCCATCTCCTGAAAATCCAGCTTTACAAGTGCAGGTGAATGAGCCCACAGTGTTGTTGCAGTACGCGTACGCTGAGCAGTCATGCGATCCAGAGGAACACTCGTCCGTATCTTCAACAAAATAATGAGACCCTACGTTAACTAACGATTAAACACTAGTCAATAATGCTTTCAGGAAGACTACTATCAAACCATTCTCTCGACGTTATTTTAGTAAGAAAAAAGGCACCGCGCTAATGGTAAATGCCTTCGCCGGGCGAGGACCAGACTGCTTAACTAACTATTTCCGCAATCTATGCGATTATACTGCTAAAACATACCACTTTTGTTTGTCAAATTGCACAACGCTAACAGTTAAATAATTGTTCCCTAACATACAAAAAAATTGAGTGTGCGTGGAAAGGTGAAGGCTTTCTCTCATATCGTAGATCATTACGAGCAACGCTTTATGTCAAACAGGTGTATAACAAAGGGTGTATAGCGATAACCTCTTTCGCAGCCTTCAGTTCTAGTCCAATTAGCAGGACAAACACAACGGAGTTTTCCGTGAATAGTCGGTACACAAGAAGCAGATGGGGGACAAGGAGATGTGCCACAAAACTTCTGTTGAAAACGAAAAAGATAAAAAAGATTTCCAAGTGATATTTCACTGAAATAAATAACCATATTACGAAGGAATTACGTGTACTACAATTTTCTCAGAAATTTGAAATTTTCGTTAAAGTTTTAAGACTTTTAAAACTTTATCTTGTCATCTTATCCAGGTAAATGTAGTTTGGAAATGACCCATACAAAAACACGTTTTCTTCTTATCAATAGTTATCCAGGTCGTACTGAAGGTTCACGCTAGCCTGCGAGCGCGTGCTCATAGTAAATTATGGCCGCCATCTTTTATTCTAATGGTAGCAGATGGTGGGGGGGGGGGAGGGGGGGAAGAAAGAAATTTGTACCAAGGGGGTGGGCGACGGTCAAGAGTAAGGAGAGGGATGGGGGTGCGGAAACTTATTTTCGCCCTTCCTTTTCTTTGCAGTATACCTACCATGGTTGGATGATAGGAGAAGCCTTCCTTACAAATGAGATGTCCAGGATGTTGAAAGTGATCAGAATCACTGAGTTCACATTTCAATTTGCCCCTGGTCTCCGAAATTCCAAGATTGAAGGATGAACAGAAGTTCTCTGCGTAACACCTCAATTCACACTGATCTTTGTTATCAACCATCAAGGACTTAATGACGTGATTTTCGAGGTAATTGTCTTCCTCGGGTTGAACAAACTCCAAAATTCTGCACGTTTCTGATAATAAAAAAACATGAAAAATGCTAAACGAAAGGGAACACAAGTTGATTATAAAGTGGTCTAACAAAACCCAACATGAAGCAATCTAAGGCAGCTGTTATGCCACAGGGCTTCAGCTGCGTTCGGGCGATATGCGCGTTAGGGCAAATCGTTACTCTAGCCTGCTTTTCTTTATTATCCAGTTTCCCTATATTCAGCAGATTCTGTGTTAACCAGGTGTAAATATGTCGCGAAGAAAGGTCTTTTGCTCTGAAACAAGGAATTTTTTAATTGAAAATATAAACAGGCGTTGTCAAAGAAAACGTTAATTAACTGAGCTTGGACCGAGGGGCTGTCAACGCGCGTTTTTAACAAGTCAAGATGTTTACTGTGGAAGTCTTAAACGATTTATGTGCAAACTCGCGACTTCCCTTTAATTTTCAGTTTTAAAAAAGTCTTAATTTAAAAGCCTTTCAACCTGACATGAGAGTTGATTGCAGAGTGTTCGTGCAAGACTTGATACTTCACAAATTTTTAGGTGCCGAAGACCACTTCGTAATTCTTGATTGCCACAGGCAAAAAATTTGACTTTTATTTGAAGGGTTGAGCATAAGGCTTCTACTTCGGTATCACTAACTATATGGAAGGCTAGAAATTCAACCGGATCAATACCACTTTAAAAAGAAGGGTATCTAGCTAAGAGCAGCTATAAAAGTCGTTAATTAAAGAAATTCAGTAAGGAGAGGTTAAAAACAGCTAAGATTTTACGAAAACAAGGCTTCATTTTCATTTGATGACA